AACTCAGTTTGATCTATGTTCTGAAGGTGACAATTTTGTATGTTTGTTTACGTGAATACGTTGTAAGACAAATTAAATTGAAAATCAATATTTGCACAGTCAAGAAATATATTCTCTAGAAATACTAACAGTTCTTTTTTCTTCATATTTACTTGATGTTCTTCAAATTTAATATTCGAAGGTAATATGCAAATTTATTGTAAAAAAATACGCATGAAATACAAATATTATAAACTCACAACAAATTCTGCCGCATGATTTTCATTTGAAATTGCTCGTTTCTCAACAACTAGCATTCTTATGGGAGACAATTATGACGTTGCGGACTGAAAATAACCACGGAGTACTGGGGTTTAATTAACGCCACCTACATAGATCTATTTAGATGGTATTGGTTTAATTCTCCGTATACCCACTCAGATCGCAGCGCTAAAGCACGCAAAAGCATGTTTTTGAAAATTTCTTAGAATTTTCTGTCTGGATTCGAAAACAAGCTATCAGTTCCCCATGAGGAGACCGAGTTGCGTCTCGTTTGGTGGACGGGAACTGGTCTAACCGTGAGTGGCAGAACTGCACATCCGAACATTCACACACTCGCTAGTTACTCAAATACTGTATAGGGATATAGGTAGTATTGGTCCGAAACCCCAAACTCAGTTCAAACTATATCCGCGCGTTGTAGCTCGCGTATAGATCATAGGAAATTTTGTACCGCTAGATGTCGTTCCCACGAATAAATGTTTTGATGAAGAAGACAGATAAACCAGTAGCTTCACTTTTAATCTTTAAAATTTGAGTATTTAAACTTGTATTTTATATTTTGAAAATGAACTACAAAATTAGGTCTTGCGCCTGTTTTGAGGTATCTGTCGGATATCGAGCGAGATCACTATATCGGCGTATTCTTCAAAACTAAATTACTTTAAATCTATATATACTATGCAAACACAGTGAACAATTAGACCTGCATCAGATAACATACAAAATGAATGTCGAATGCTCTAAAAATACTCAGCGAAATGGCGGCAGAGCTACAGTGAATTCGTGAATTAGGTATTATCTGTCGGTAACATGCGTTTTTAACCCCTGTTAACATTAACCCCCTACAGTTGGTTAAGTGCACGCGTAAATACCTGTATGTTAAAACATTTAACGTCCTTAGCAACGTAAATAAACAACCATCGATTCAGCGCAATGTTAAATGTTTGATAAGAAAAAAACTTGGCGATGAACAAAACAAATCAGAATCAAACAATGCAGAATAAATGTGCCCCATTAGTTTTTGGTATAATTATTGACAATAGTTGTATTAATAATATTACAATTAGAAATACGTATATTAAGGAAATTAACCTCATTTTCCTGACATTCAACCAAATAGTAGTCATATATACTGACGATGTCAAGGTGTCGCCACTGGAAGTCGACGCACCAACTTCATCTCTGAAAGCCATTTCTGTCATAAGGCATATTTACATAAAGGAGAATTATATGCGCCCATCTTTCTCGAACCACGACACATGAATATTTTTTAAATAGATAAATTCTAATCATCCCTCCACGATATCACACTTAAGTGCCGCAGCAACAGAATTTACTTGTTTTGCAGCAGTAATGTACTTTTTTTGCACAAATCGTTAGATTTTATGGTGACCGATAAAATGCTGATCATACCACGAAATGTTAGTCTTACTACTGTCTTGTCCGAATTAAAAATCTCTGCTCCGCTACGCTCCGTCTCGATATTTAACTTTTGGCCTGTTAGTAGCTATTACTGAACATCTTTTCTTTCACGAGGGGTCAAAGATAAGGGACAGGACACTGTGTTCGGTTTGTTATTCTCAGACGCTCGAAATGACCTCTGAGATGCGCTGTCACTACCGGCCCAATGAGCAAGAATATACTAGAAAGAGTGGCTGTCCCTCTGGTTTCTGTGCTCTTCGTGGAGGCTCGCCGAACTTGTGGCCGCCATGTTTTTTGAAGTCATAACATACGAGTGGCAGTTTATCCGTTCATAACCAGCGCCAAATGTAATGCTATACTGCGATTTTTGCAACTCTGCCCCTGGCAGGTATCAACTGTTGACAGTTTTATCCAATCGGAAGGTTAAACGTCACTATTGTAACGTTTAAGCTCCCGATTGGATGAAACCGTGCACAGCTGAGACCTGCCAGGGGCAGGGTTACATACATCTCAATATAGAATACTTTCTTTCCCAGAGGGCGCTGCTTTGACTGCAAAACACACGTGTTCAATTTTCTTCAAAGATGGAGGCGCTTCAGCCACTCTATGTAGTATATTCTAGCTCGTTGCTACGGACCGACTAAACAAGCAAGCCCCCCCCCCCGTGCTCATTCAAGAGGGGAATCAAGAATAGTGATGAAGAGGGAATCACTCTCATCCCAGAAACCCTCGCATCCGCAGTCGGAGGGAGTTGTATAACTTGTTCACTTCGCCGAAACCCTTAGGAGGATTCTGAATAACCATTATATTAGTAAAAATATATTTTTTCGGATTAAAATATGTTCTTCAGAGTTAAATATTTAAATAATTACATGTACATTTTTCTTCAAAATATCGGTAATTCTCGCGTAAGTTTGAATGAGTTCGTGACAATTGAAAAGTGTAATCAATATATTATCTATGATTGGTTGATTGATTGATTGTTAGTGATTTTGGGCACGTCAAACGCTAAGGTCGTTAGTCCTGTAAGTATAGTGCATTTCTTTTACTCTTGAGGTGGTGATTTGTCTTCCCCCACTGGATGATGAGATCCGTCGCCAATCTACCGTGGTTTGCGTTGTTTCCTCAACCAGGTATCTCCCACCAGCGGGGCACCGCCCCAGCCAGGACAAGCTCTAAGCTCTCTCCTGGTCCCCCAACATGTGTGGTATAGTAGTGCGTCGAAGTGAGTGTATGAGTAAGGGGAGAGGGTAGGGTAAAAAAAGAAGATGAAGAAGAAGAAGAAGAAGAAATAGAAGAGGAAAAAGAAAAAGAAGACGAAGAAGGAGAGATAACTCGCGATCCGTGGTCCATTTGTTTTGTTACTACTCGAACATTTGCCTGACAGTAAAAAATACTGTTCAAAGCAACCGTCCGTTAGCATTTTACTCCAGACAATGGCTGAAAACAACCTAGCTCGTGTCGAAAATTCTGCCATCGTCGGGTCTCGAACCTCAGATCTCCCGGAAACAGTCACACCAAACTTTGGGGCAATGCTGGCTCAGAGTTAAATTGAGTTCTCTTTTTGAATTATGCTTTTAAGATCATCAAGCATGTAGGACCTCTAGCGATGCATGTCCAAATTCTTCATTTACGATAGAAGTCAAAAAATATCATCTTGAAATGTTCGCGATAATATGTTGACCCCTCATTATGACGAATAGTTTAACATAATCTATGTAACGTACGTATATAATCGTATTACGATCGCCAGTGCCAGCACGCATCATGTGTTCCTCAAAGAATGACATGAGGTGATTTCATAGATTATTTTTACAATTAAAAAATAGGTGCCAAGATTTATCGTGGCTTTTTCTGATTCGATGTCAAGAAAACAATTGGTGAAATACCATGCCTTTATTTCCTAACTTTGAGTCATGCAGCGTATCAGATTTCTTTGAGATAAAAAAAGTAACGTGAGTTATCTGGACTCCAGTCAAACAATTGGACTTGTTTACGATTTTAAAAGTAATCTCAGAGCAAACTATCAATTTTGTGCTGGTGAATACCTTCTTTTAGAGTATGTTAGTATCTCGCCAGTTCAGGTGACAATGTCCGAGGATGAATCGATTGAGAATGGGAATTTATACTCTCGGCCTGAGATGGCAAAATTTAAAGGACTTATAATTATATTTCTAAATGACCAATGTGATGAAAGTCACGCACTTCATTGCAAATTGCGATGCAAACTTAATCTTCCAATGATATTCTCATAGTATTTGCACGTGATGAATATAAATTCTTTAGCACTCGAGAAAGAAAACTAAACTAGTACCTACTTTAATTGTCTATTTGCTCATTTATTTATCAATTCATTATTTTTTCATTGTTGCTGGATTTACTTTACCGTTCGTGCGCACCAAACTCTAGTTTGCCGTACGTTAACGCAATGAATCCATAGCGTTATAAAACAACGGGGCACTTCAAAGTAAACAAAAAACTATCAAACGGACAAAGGACCCTGCGCCATCTTTTCGTCCTCTTACTGGTCCTACTTGTACTCGCACGCAACATACATGCACTACACTACCACACATGTCGGGAGACCATGACGGAAGACCGGTCGGAAACTTGTAGAGGTTGGGACGGTGACCCGCTGTCGGGAGATATCTGGTTAAGGAAAATGCCCACGTTGACGTGTAGTTTCCAGCGTGGAAAGATGACCCCCACCTCTCGCGGTAAAAGCGTACACTATTCTTCCTAGACACCTTAGCAGCTGACGTGCCCGGAATTACTACACTATCAATCAATCAATCAATTATCAATCAATGAAATATCTATCAATCAATTAAATATGTTTATTCCATTAAGTAAATTTATTTAATTAAAAACGTATATACCCTCGCGGTTTATCTCATTGGTCAGCGTACTAGCTTTCTATGACGCAATCCCGTGTTCAATTGCCGGTCGAGCAAGACTATAGTGTGCGTTTTCCATGTCCCAGTATAAGTTGCAGTGTAACAATGAGAAAAAACACTTCTCAGGTTGAGAAGACCAAAATACGGTGTCGGGATGTCTTCGTACTAACCACACGTTCCCCCTTAACCCATGGCCGCAAAGCCGGGTCGCTGCTGGTAGGCCTTGCCCCGTTCGCGGACTGTCGCGTTAAAAACTGAAAGACTAAAATATGAAGGTGTTATTTATTTATTTGAATAAATTTTTACTAGTCAACTTTTATTTATTTATTTATTTATTTATTTATTTATTTATTTATTTATTTATTTATTTATTTATTTATTTATTTATTTGATTGATTGATTGAATCGCTGTGTTCGCAGATGAGTCTCCTGTGCAGCTGCGGGAAGCGTCCGGCGGTGGGGGACGAGTTGGCGACGCCGGCGTCCCCTCCCTGGTCGCCGCTGCCCGGCGAGCGCAAGACCCACGGCCACCCGCCGCCCTATAGCATAGGCCCCGTGCGGCCCTTCCCATTAGCCGAGCCCCCTCCACCCGCCCGCTGCTGCCACTGCTTCACCCTGCGCCAGGGTTCGCTCACCATCTCCTGCCTCTTAACGGTGAGCGCAACAGCCTTCACACGGGTGTCTTCACTCGGGTGCCACCACACAGCTGGCTTCACACGGGTGTCTTCACACGGGTGTCTTCACACGGGTGTCTTCACATGGGTGTCTTCACACGGGTGTCTTCACACGGATGCCTTCACACGGCTGGCTTCACACCGATGCCTTCACACGGGTGCCTTCACACGGGTGTCTTCACACGGGTGTCTTATCACGGATGACTTCACACGGACGCCTTCACACCGATGCCTTCACACCGATGCCTTCACACGGTTGCCTTCACACGGCTGTCTTCACACCGCTGCCTTCGCACGGCTGCCTTCGCGCGGCTGCCTTCACACCAATGCTTTTCCACCGATCCCCTCACACGAATGCCTTTACACAGGTGTCTTCACACAGTTGCCTTCACACGGGAGTCTTCACACCGGTGCCTTCACACGGGTGTCTTTAATCGGATGCATTCACACGGAGCCCCTCGGTGGCGCCACTGAGAAGCGGCAGACCCCTTCACACACAGCCTCCGCCACTGACACCGAGAGAGGAAGGTTTCCGTGTGAAGGGGCCCTAAACTCCACGCTCATGCGAATACCTCAATTTAAACCAATGCTTTGTCAGCTCACATGCCACTCGGAAGCACCATGTGAGCGAATGAAGAGAGCCAATAAACAAATTCATCGCAGACTTAATTTACCATATATGAATTCAGCTTTAAAAAAATCTTCCTTCTTCCATCCTGCCCAGGGAGCAGATTATTAAATCTAGGAAAACATGCTCCTGCTAGAATTAAATATAAATATCTCAAAGACATACTCAAACCTCTCTAATTTATTACATTGTATGATGATATTTCAGACAATTTTGTACCATTTTTTAATATAAGTATGAATTAAACCACTGCCCAACATTTACTTTAAAATTTCTATAGTGTATCTTCATCACGTCAGGCTCATTTCTTTGTTAGTGTTTTTCTGAATATTATCAATGTCGTGTCAGTCTTCTACATATGGCTTCGTGCACATATCAAACAGATACCTAACAATTTTCACGTATTTTTAAAATGTTATTAGAGGGATAATGTTTTTCTCTTAATTTCCCTTAACGAATATTTGTATATTTGTAGGTGTCTGTTACTTTTTTAAGCATTTAGTGTCTCAATTTAATGTGTGTTTTTTCTTCTTCACAGGTCATTGCTGTAGCTACTCTGATTGTATTTTGTCTACACCCAGGCGAAAAACAATTTCACAAGAAAAGGGATTTTGGTGAGTATATTTGTTTAATTAATCACTTATTTAAAAATACATCAAAGATTAGCCTACGACAATAACATATATCAAAATATGACGCAGTTAAGAGCAATTAATGCTTTAAAAATATCTAAATAATTAAAATCGGAAAATAACAAAAAGGCAAACAATTACAAAACGAAAAAATAATAAGAATATGTTTCATGACTTAACTTTTAAACTTAATAACAATAATAAGAGTAGTTATATAAAATATTAGAGATCGAATAAACGTTAGAAAGAGCTGAGGATCAGAAGGAATGTAACGGCATAAAAATATCAACTTCAAATTCATAAGGAAGATAATTGTTGTTTTGTGTGTTATCCCATCCTACAACTAAAAATTAAAGTTTATCACATTTGAAAGAATCCTCTGTTTTTGTATATAGCCAAAATGGATCTCAATTCTAGACGAAATACACCGTATCCTAGTTAAGTAACCGTAGCAATGTATCGTATCCTAGTTAAGAAGTTGGATAAACCTTAGTTAACTTTTTATTGTTCGCATACCTACAGTTAACCACATTTGATCGCTTAGGATATTGCTCTTCCCCAGATAAAAAGCTTTACCAAATTCTATTTTAAAAAGATTTGAATGAGTTTTCATACTTAAAGATTTTTTAAGGATTGAAAAGTATCAATTAATCATTTTTAGTGACAGAAAGCGATAGGAATAAAACAAAATCATGATATTGTTAGATGCCTCACTTGTGTTATAAAGATGTGAGATCCGAAATCATGATGAAGTCGTAATTCTACTCCTAATTTGTGCATATTAACTTATTATATAAAATAATAAATGAAATATTTAAGAATATTAATATTAATAATAAATATCATATTTTTTTGCAGATACGGTCCGCGTTGCATACAGATTGTTTGCTTCCCTAGCTGCTTTGAAGATTCTGCTGAGCATCATGTTACTTATTGGGATTCTCAGAGTAAGTTTGCTATGAAATCGCTCGACACAGACCATACCATTATAAAATTGGCAATCAAAAGATGGTGATAATGGAAGAATGTTTACTCTCAATGTCTGCACTCAGTTGAATGTTTTAGTCGTCTTACTGATATCTTCAGAGTACGTGAGGAAACCCAGTTGTTTAGTTTAGATAAAACTACTCTAACACGTGGTGAGGCCAGAATCCATGTTTTGCGGCTCCTCGTTACCAAAAAAGAAAATGACGCCAAATATATATATGTATATATATGTATATATGTATATATGTATATATGTATATATGTATATATGTATATATGTATATATATATGTATATGGCGAGAGAGAGAGATATTGACGGACAGACAGACGTTATATACATAAGTAGTGTGTGTATATTCTTAAAATATACTTTTTTGTGCATTATCATTATTATTATTATTATTATTATTACTATTATTATTATTATTATTTATAGGAGAGAACGGAATATATTAAGCCTTGGCTCATCTCCTACTTCATCGTTGCCCCTGTGGAGGGTACAGCCCTTTTAACATCATTTTTCGTCGCCATGCTAGTCGATATGTGGCCACTTGCCGTCAGCTTGTTTATCGGCTTCCTCTGCTATTTTGGTAAGTAACGTATGGTAACATTACGCACTGTCATGTTCTAACTACGTCACGTCCTAGAAATCCTAAGGTTTCAATTTGCGTCGGTTACGTCGTAAATTCTTAGTTCTTTTAGCTAACTTGAAATAACAATGCATTCGAACGTCTTCATAAAGACTTCAATTGTAATCATTTAAACTCTTGCATGCTGCTTGGAAATGATATTAAATGGCGGCAGCCATTTAGTAATATAACAAGGAAGATTAAAGAACAGAAGGTTTAACTTTGACAGCAAGGAATATAAACTAATGTCTTAGCAGTTTCAGCCATGGTCTTGGGGTAATTGACACTTAATATAAATGAATTGTTATCAACCACAATAATATTGAAATATTACACAGTTAAGGCAATATTTTAACAATACTCAGACCAGCTGCGGGAAAATTTCCCCATTTTCAGTGACAGAGCAACAAAGTCTATAAATTAATTTAGTGCTGCTACAAAAACATAATTACTCGCATTATTTGTAACGGATACGTAATATTATAGTAGTGAACGTTCTATCCTTCTAACACTTCAAATATCAGTTGAAAAAAATCAAACCACAAAACTCAAAAGTACACATAAAATTGTAATATTTTGAAATAACTGTTTTGTAGAAGGATAAGAAATTACAACTGTTACTGGATGATTATTAAGTTAGTTACAGTTTATAACCATTCACAGATCGTTCTGTTCAAAAAATTTCAACTGACGTCTTAAATGGCAGTAGAACAGAAATAGCAACACAGTAGAACCTCGGTAATCCGATCCAATTTGGGTGTGAATTGTTTGGATTCGGGAATGTTCGGATTATCTGAAAAATGTACCAATACATATATGTATAGGATTACCAGACAATGCAACATAGCGTGCGATGTGAGAAAAAGGTGAAGTGGCGAAGCGATCATAGCATATTCAAGCAGAGTCAGTTACAGCAAAAGACGATTTTCCAATCTCCTCTAAATGAAAATTAGTGCAACATAACCATGTAATGTACACCGTAGTTACCAGTGCAATAACCGATTCATCTCGACAACTTGTGTTTCAACTATTAGTTTTTCAGTTCTGCTGTAATTATAAAATCCTTTATTCACACTACAGACAAGACTTTTATTTATTTGGTTTATTTACCTCCATTCCGAATTTTGTGCGAATTATCCAAAACTTCGGATCTGAGAAGTTCGGATTAGCGAGGTTGTACTTTATTATAAAATAGATCCGGGAAAAATGTATATCTAACGTTCTGGCAGTCTTGCCGTCTGTGTCTCGGAGGGAGAGCTCATTCCAAATCTGACAGTAAAATATATACATAGGTACCTGTAAAGAATCCGCATTTTTCCTCTCGAGTAGTTTTGGCGTATTTTGCGTGAAATCTAGGAAAATTTTAATCAATAATTTTTTCAAACACGACTCCAAATATTTTCTTTATATCTTGGTATTTTCTTTCGATATATTTATATTATGCACTCGGATAGAGCAAAGGATGCTTAAAAATATGCATAATTGTTTTCATTAAACTGTCGGTCTTTTCGAAAATTTCTGAAGTTGCAAATGATGCGAGAAAGTGTGCGTTGTTGAACCACTGAAGATTAGGTCCATGGAAGATTGGAGAAAACCACAGAAATGTCTCCGAAACTAGTATGGGTTTTTGTTATAATGTTTTATTTGGTTAATGGTTTTTAAATTAATTGAATCAAGTCCTCACCCATTTGAAAAGCGATTTTAACATATTCAAACAAGCATAAACTATTTGATATTTATATTGTCTTTTCTTTTCTCTTCAGCTGTGTATGGATGCTGCTTGTACATAATATACTGCTACTTCATCTCCATCGGCGAAGTGACTATCATCAATGTCTAAAACAACACGACACCGGAACCAAGCCACAGATATGCAGATAAACTTGATGATAAAAGTGCTCAGAAAAGCGTCCTTCACGTGTCGAAAATACAGTAGAGGCTCCGTTAACATAAACCAACGAATCGTATTTCTTAGTTAACAGATACCATTTGGTTTGGCGTATGAACACAGCAAAATATTGGAGATGAGAAGAACTAAGGTTAGGGGAATACCAACGAATATTGAAAAGATAACTCCTTTTGTATTGCCTCTTTGTAAAATTCATTTTAATAAATTCTACGAAATGTAACTTAATCTGTAAGTTGTGCATTCAAAGATTTGAAGTGTTTTTATTAGTGCATTTTAGCTAAATTTATGATGAAGCTCGAATATAAGAAACAAAATTATTATTTAACAAATTATAATTAATATTATTATTAATAATTATCATAATATTTTTTTTAATGAAAGTTCTGTAAATGGTTCAACTCAAAACTTGCAGATAAGTTACATTAGCTAGAATGGATCAAAAATGTAGTAAAACAAATAAATAGTTGCTAATATACTAATTATTAATAGTTATATAGTTAAAAAAAATAGTTAAAAATTACTATCCTATGTTTTCAGTAACATTAGCCAATTGCCTGCTCTTCTCACAACTTTCTGTCATGAGATTCGAGAGGAAGTAATTCACCTTCATTAATTGAGGCATGGGGTAATTGGATTTTAGGTTAACGGAGTCTGTACTGTAAATAGAAACATTCTGTCTGCATTTGTTACTCGAACATAATATAATATTGATAAATATTGTAATATTCATCAATTGCTTTCTCATTCGTTTCGGATTGGTTGTCAAGAAGATCTAGCAAGAAAACCTGGTGCATCCTTAACGTTTCTGTGTCTACTACTGCGTCAATGTTACACAATTTGGATCGGCACAAAGACAGGACTTAGATCTTCCGAGAAAAAAAACCTATACCAAACGAAAGGCCTGAAATTATTTGGAGGAAATCGGCAAAATTATGGAAGAACTTGAGTTTCATTTAACTCAACCAGATCTCTTTAATCGACGTTCTGTATGAACACGTTTGTGCAATTGTAGGAGGAAGACAAATTATTATAATATGAATCATTTGATATCTAATTGTAATAAAGTTGTATGTTAGAAATTGAATTTGAGAATATTACAGTATTTCTGTAGAGGCATCTTAGTAATTTTCATATGTGTAAGGTTATAATTTAAGATTATTTATTTGTGTAATTGTAAGTAATATATTATGTATATTCACGCTACTATACAATTTTGTAATTTTGTAATAAATATTGGTAAAAAATTCATCTTTATTCCATATATTATAGTTTCACCTTGATTAGCAAACGTCGCTTAGTATTAAGCTACGCTTTGTACATAGTCCTCGCCGAACAATCGCTTAAGGTACGCAAGCAGGCTTAAGGAGACCAAAGAAACATGGCGGAAAGGTTATGTGCAATGGCATTTGGTGACGATGACCACGTTTTTGAATATAGAATTTCTCCTCCAGGACGAAGTAGATGAGAGGGCTAATTTCTTCGAAGACGTGGATGAAATTGATTTTTAGACTCGCTTTCTCTTTTTGAAGAGATCGACATTATTGGAGTTGGAGCAGATTGAAGAAAAACTAGAATTTACTTCTCATATATGTAGTGTAGCCTACTTGTAACTACATAACGGAGAATTGAAAGCTTACACCTTTAATAAACTGTATTTCTCGGTATATGTTGTAATAGTAAAAAGATAACATTTGTAACTCAGGTTAAGGTTATGATAGGCTTGTATCAGTATAATATTTCAATTTTAAATACAGTACGAATTTGGACACTACAAAATTCTAGTTAATTCCTGTTAATTTGACGTTCAGTAGTTACTGACATCCAAAATTGCATTGTATTAGCGAGGATTTTTTATGGTATACGTATGATTTAGGAATTTAATTAGTCCCAAACGATTACAAAAAAAATAACACTTTGAACAGAACTTTGTGAAGCTATTTTATTTCATTTGACAATATTTCAACTCATGATCCTACTTTCAGAGCTGTAAATGTAATGTAATATGATTATTCTTTCTAAAAATAATAAATCTGTGACATTCCTATCAATAACAGATTGTTACAATTCAGTTGTTCAATAACAGTTGTTTGTACTGTGTAACAAAATTAAAAACGATCGTAAATTAATTTGATAGAATAAACAATGAACAAAAATAAAAAAACACACACTATCAGCACACTATGACTGAACCAAGTGATGGGGGTCCACGAAACAGTACAAACAGCTTCAAAACATGGAGAAACTGTGTTAAAGAACGTGCAGATCGTTGGTGTGCTTACTTTCTGGCGTTGCCAACATTAGCGGAAGGCGAACGAAACCCGCTTAGCTAAATCGCTTGATCGCCTCGAAGGGACTAGTGAAACGTTTGCCGTAAGCTCGCTTAAATTTAGAACTTAAATTTTGAGCCAGCTTAACAAAGCCGCGCTTAACGAAATATTGGTGAAACCGGCCCTAAAAACATCAAGCACGATATTATATGTCACATGTTTTGGTGTTATATTCTCGTTTTTTTTTTACAAAATCTCCGCAGAGTTTCCTTCAGCTAGTGACTGCTCCCTTGTAATGCGTGTGTGCCAACATGCGTAGCATTCAAAGAGCATACATTATGTGGCCGGCAAATATTGTCATTGTACTGATATTTGAAGGACAAATACCTACTCTTGACCACGCGAAAAATACTCTCTGATGCGTGTAGAAACAATGCAACGGCCAGGAACTGTCCTTTGCACGCCTTTCAGCAGAGCATGCGAAACGGAATTCTTATAAATTCCTAGAAATTATGGCGTCCAGCACTCGCTCGCCCACACAGCGCTATTCCCTTTGAAATTGTCCCATGGTCTTCACATAAAATGATGTTTTAAAGAATGATTTTGAAAACCTCAAAGCTTCAATTCGAGCCATAGGGACAAGGGTTTCTTCAATTTGGAAAATGTCCTATCTATATGTGATGTTCTCAGACGGACGGACGGACAAATGGATGTTTCGGGAGAAAAAAAGAAAAGAAAAAAAACTTATTCGGTAGCGAGGCCCCGAAAACGTGTATATCCGTTGAAATCTCGAAATCGATTTTCCGCAGCATTACATAACTTTCCCTTTACTAGGTACATTACTCTGTGTATACGAACGTACACGGGACAGTAAAGGGATAGTAAAATGTAACCCGTAACACTCGGTCAGCTATGTCGTTAAATAACTCCTAAACTAAGCGTTCTAAGGTCATAAAAACTAAACGTTTGAGGCAAAAGCTCTCTAAAATACGTTTCTCACCCAGTAGAATTCAAAATCATTGATGAAATAAGGGATGTAGTTCACGGGATTGGTCAATTATGAACAATGAAACTATTAGTTTGCCAACATTTCGGAATTCCCTCATCAGGACTAGAGTACAAAAACAAAAAGCAAGGCATGAAGACATCCAGCTAAAAATTAACAACTCAACAAAATTATGATACGAGATAAACAATAACCAAAGTAAGATAAATGTACACACCGTTCTAATATATTAGAAGCTCATATCAGCCTCCGAACCAACTTCTGTAGGTGGAGTTGGAGTTGCTGTAGCACATGGGTCTGTGGCGTCTTTGCGGGGGCAATAAATTACAGAGTGAACGATTTGTAAATATTAAGTATTTATTTTAATAAAAATACTCTAACACCATAATACTATATACAATATTTATAAATAACAATACTGACCGTTACTAGAAGGAACTCCACCGCTGGCCCAATAATTAACTATCATATTCGGTGTGATGCAGATATGTGAGCATACCAGCGAGTATGCCGCACCTCACGTCTCGACGTATCACGCCGGCTTCGGTTCCCTGCCTCAGTAGCCTATGCATTGAAATGCAGCGCAGCGCACAACCCACACGACTTCCTACTGACGCGCCCAAGAAACAGAAGAAAGAGCTTACGTCGGAGTCCTTTTATATACCTTCTGGGCAGGCTGACGGAACTGCGTCAACTCGCTGTGTCCACCGACGCGTTTCCGCCGCCTACGGGGTTTCCAAGTTTCCACCCACAACACGGCACCCTTTCCCTTCCGCTCCCTAGCCTTTGTGCAGCCCAGCGTCTCTTTCGCCAGCGCTGTCCACGTGGCTGAGATTTGGTACGTTTGTACTGGCGACAGATATGACGCCACAGGTCCATCCCGAGACAAGGGAACATGACCTCATTCATTTACGTTCGGGCCGTTGCCTGAATCAGACTTGTCTCGGGTTGAGATTCCTCCATCACATACTGTTTAAACTATATGTGTACACCATGGTTTATGCAGCAGACTGACGAGGTTTATTTGCATAATGATTAATTTAAGATTCGCTCGCGCAGGAAGAACTAAAAGTACTTTTAATAGTTGCTTGTGTAACGTATTAGCCAGCGTGCCTC